TGTAAAAATGCAAGTAGAAAAATAGAAACCACCTTTGGTGGGAAGATAACAGCGTTCTGTGTGCCTTTGGCATTTAGTCATGCCGGCCTCATGACCGCGGAGACATCTTCAGACAGTGCTCTTCGGCTTTGAAACGGAGATAAGCACCGCCCCCTAGAGTCGGGAATGACTAGCACATATGTGTGAGGCGAACCTTTACCTTTATAGGATAGTCACTAGATTGTTAATCGGTACGTATGGCTTAACATTGTCTCAGTGAGTCAGTCTTGTATTGCCTGATGGTGTAGAATTAATTACAGTTGGTCTATTAGCTAATAGCCTCAGATATCCTTGAGGAGGGCACCATCAAAGATTATATCATGAATCATTTATTTGGAGGAATTACGGATAGAACCTTAAACTTTATGAATGCAGAATATTTTTTTGATTCCTGGTAACTGCCTTGACTGGTCCCTGCAGTCCCTGCTGAGGTTTCTCAGAAATGGCTTGTCCTTGTCTGCTTAAGGACAAGAGGGAGTGATTGATCCAAGGTCACCCAGCTGGATTTGGGCTTAATTCACAGTTTCCTGGTTTCTGTACTTCTCTAAACGTTGCAGATGTAACACTGTCAAAACTATTTCCTCCCCTAAATTATACCAGGTATATTATTAGACTAGATAGACTGTTTCAGTAAAAATTAGTCAAAGCCAGCTGCCCATTGGACTATATACTCTTTTGGAGTTAATAATGTTGAACAAAGTGTAAAAACAACACTGTGCATATTAAGGTATATTTGCTGAATCTTATTCAAGTAAGGTTAAATTAACAACAGAACTTGTCTCAGAAAAAGTGCTTGGGCAAATGTCAGAAAAGTGAGCTCTGACCTGGCAAAAAGGTTTGAGGAAGGATGTTCTTAACTCCAGATAATCAAAAATAATAGCAATAAATAGCAATAACTGCATTTGCTGGAAGTATTATCAAATTAGCTTTTTAATAATATACAAAAATAAAAAATTCTTCTATCCAGTCCATGTAATGAAAAATATACTAATAATTGATCTGTCTGCAAACAGCATATATCAGCAATCCATTCTTGCAATTAGATATTGATTGATGTTGTATGATTAACTTGGCTAGTCGGTTTCTATGAAGAATCGTAATTCCTTAAGCCTTAATAAAACCAATAAAATACTCATCAGTTGAAAATTGAGATTTCAAACCAAAATATGGTAATATTGGGCATGTTCAAATTATTTGAATTAATGTAAACATTTGCCAGTTTTTAGCAGTAAAGTAACCATCAGTCAATACTGAGTAGTCTCCAAGATGTTCATCTATACAAAAAAAAATAAATCTGTTTTATTATCTACATTTTATGAGCAAAAATGGGTAGTTCTTTTGGTTGGTTGGTTTCCTGTGAATGCTTAAACTTCATAATAAAAGTTAGTGAATTGATCTTTATTGGCAAGCATTCTTTGTAGCAGCTTTTTCCATTATGAAGGAAAATGGAATGTACATGTAGTACTTAATGTTAATCATTTATCTAACTCAACAGACAGTTTCATGTTTTTAGCAACCAAATTGAATGTTTGTAGAATTGCGTGACCAATTTCATGGGTAAAAATGCTCCAAATGGAACTCCTAAAAACATAAACAATTAATTTGGATCCCATTTAAAATGCTGTACAATTCATTGAATTGGAATTCTAACAATTCTAACTAACTAGGGAGCACCAATATTTAATGATATCTGAAAATAAGTAGGACAAGATACAAGAGTAAACCTGGGGTAATTTGAAAAATGAGGTATTTTTCTATTAAAAAGGAGAAACTTAGAAATCATTTAAGTCTGTGACTAACTGTCTTTGTCTTTCAGGACCATTATGTTACCAATGTTGACTCTAACGTCAGGTACATTTTTTATTCAATTTGCAATTCGATAGTACTGTGTTCTAATATAATTTAGCACGAGTTCTATTAACAATAGATTGGGATAATAATGGGTTGTCAGAATTGATTTTTGCTAAGTTACTATAACTGGGATTTGTCTATAATTTGTGTGTAATTTATATTAATTCCTTAAATATGATTGTTTTTATTATGTAAGTAAGTTAGTTCCCATGGTTTATCTTGTATATCATATCCTCTTCAGGTAAGATGTATCATCATATTCGGAAAACTAGGAAGGATACTTAAAACTAGTATGCTTTAAGTAGCCTTTATGGCTGCAGTCCAGGGATTAATATTGATCATTACTCCTGAAACTTTCACTAATCCTTTTGGGACCTCCTATATATGTTGGATATGTTTTGAGAGGTATACACTTGTAAGAGTACAAAAGAATTTATTGGGCTTGTATCTTCCTGAACAGCTCAGACTGTTAAACAGAAGACATCTCTTGAATTGGATTATATCTAAGAATATTTTTGTGGTCACTTTTAAGTAAAAACCCCAAACTGTTATTATTTTGCATTTCATTTCCACCCATGATATAGTTCAACTCAAGAAATCTGCCTTTTCTTGGGACACACACAGTCTTAATTATGTTTACTCAGTTGTATAAAGCATTTATTTTATTACCAAGCAGATTGCCTCACTGCTTGCCTAACCATGTGGTAGCAAGGTAATTTATTTCTGTGTTCAGAATCCATTATTGAAAATACAGGTAGTCCTTGCTTAACTACTGCAATTGGGCCCATAATTTGGGTTGTAAGTCATTGCAGTCATTAAGCAGGTCACTGTGTGATCTGTCTTGATATTATGACTGTTTTATGATCATTGTAAAACAAATCATCAGGCTCATTAAGTGAACACCTGATCATTAAGTAAACGCAATTAAGAAATGACCATGGTATTCTGCAGTCATAAAATGAACCTTAGGCCAACCATTTGAAATGCGGGAGGGAGTGTGGCAGTTGTAACTTTGAAGGTCGTAAGTAACTTGTTTTGAGCCTATTGTAACTTAAAATGGTCATTAAGCAACCAGTGGTTAAATGAGGACAACCTGCAAATGAATATATCTTCTGAAACATTTCATCACTAGTGGGTATAGTATAAAACTAATGTTTTGGGTTTTGTTTTTTTCCAGTTCATGGACCAACTGGTTGATTCCAGCAATAGCAGCTATCATTGTGGCCCTTATGTATCGCTTGTACATGTCGGAGTAAACCCGGTAGTAAGAAGTAATGATGGGACACTCTGTTTTGGGCAAGAAAATGAAATATATACCTAGGGGCGCCATATCAGGACAGCATCTTAAAACCAACTTTAAAGAAGTGCATTCCTCTTTATATCAGAATTAAATGGTTTTAATACATAATGCTGCCTTTTTCTATTTTGTTTTCAAATGCTAATATTTTTTTCTTTTATATCTTCATGTCTATCATTTAATCGCATGTTGCTAAAATGCTTCTCTTAAAATTAAGAACACTCACATAGTATTCAGTTTCTTACTATTTAAAATTTGTCTGATTCTTTCTAATGAATTATTTAGGCTTCTTTTACAAAAATAAGTTAGATGGAAGTTTGTGTCTGTGCAAATTTTTCCATCTTTGTCATTGTTTATACTCTGATGTATTTTCTTTGATGTATAGCTGTATCATTTTTAAAGAATTTTCAGTATGGAAATGATAAACACTCAAAATAATTTCAGTTTTGTTAAGGATATTGCTGTAGATCCAAATATTTCATTGTGTAAAAAAAATACTAATTATCCTTAAATGATTTAAGATAGAGAGGATTTATAATAGGTATAAAATCTTCAGTGGTCCTCATTGTTTATATAACATCTATTGAACTTCAGAAGAAAAAAAAGAAAACAATGTCAGATAGAGGTAAATATATACGTCGGTCACAGTAGGTCACAGAGAACATTAATCAAGAGCAAATCTCGATCTAAATAACTTCATCTTAAAATGCTTATATACTATGCTGTATGGTTCTTGGCTGTATTATGGATCTTTGATTTATTAAATTGTTGTACAGGTATGAAACAGCAGGATAGTGTCCCTTCAAAAACGTGTGCAAGAAATAAAACATTTTCTTGTGTCTATACAAAGAAAAAAAAGTACCAATGATTCCATCTTATTTGTGTTGCCATCAAGAAGTTTGGAAAGTCTATTGTAAGTTACCCTGGGTATGGATTTCAGTTATCTGCTTAAACATACTGTGTTGTTAGAGTTCTTATATTTATGTAACTCATGATATGTAAGATGTTCCTATAAGATTTGCATGCCTTGTAGAATTCAGTACCTGAAAGCAAATACCTAATTTCTAGCACCTGTTCATGCTCCCTTGGTAAAATATTATAATTATATTACAAAAATATTGACACTTATCCTAGGCCCATTTCCCATTTCCATGTTGACTCAGTTTAGCCCACATCCCTGAATTACTTTTCTCAATGGCTTCATGTATGTGTTAAAGAGCATGGGCAACAAAATGGATTCCTGAAGGATTCCATGGATTCCTGGATTCCTGGAGGTCACCCAACCACAATGAGACAGAAGAATACTTCCGAAGACCATGTTTTGGAAGTAGCCTTCCTAGTATGAGTGGGATCACCATTTTACAGTATCCCCATAACTAAGCATTGCCGCTCTATGTAAGAGGTAACCATGGTTGATAGTATCAAAACATTCTGGGAGATCAAGGCGGACCAAAAGAGTCATATTCTCCCCATCCTACCCAGCTACAGGTTATCCCATGGGGTGACCAAGATGAGTTCTCTTCTATAATATCCCTAAAACTGAATTAACATGGATCTAGAAAATCATACAATAGAGCCTTGAGTTTATCATTAGAATAGATTATAATTAACTAAATATAAATTATATTAGGCTTTGAAAATGACAAAGGCTGATAAAATTGTTTTGAAATAACAGTTAGAAGGAACCTTGGAGATCTTCTAGTCCAATCCCCTGCTCAAGCAAAAGATCCTATACCATTTCAGACAAATGGTTGTCTAATCTGTCCTTAAAAATCTCCAGTAATGGAACACCACAACTTCTAAAGGCAAGCCGTTCCACTGTTTAATAGTTCTCACTGTCAGGAAATTTCTCCTTACTTCTAGGTTGGTTCTCTTCTTGATTAGAACATTGCTATGATGTCACCCTAGTCCTCCTTTTTATTAAACTAGATATACCCAATTCCTGCAACGTTCTTCATGTGTTTTAGCCACCAGTTGCCTAATCATCTTGTTGCTCTTCTCTGCACTCTATATAGAGTCTCGACATCTTTTATGAATTAAGGCAAATACATGTGTCCTACGATAATGTTGCAGAATCCAATATGGTTCGGTCACTGGGGCCAGGGGTTTTATCTTCCAAGCTTTTGGACTCCTGCTGGAGCCTATCCTCAGGGAACTTCTCTCTACTGCAACCTATAATTTATCTGAAAGCTCAGAAGATTAAACCTATGATCCAGGTGACCAACCCAGATTGGTTTGGTTTGGTTTTATTGGACTTATATGGCGCCCTTCTTCCAAAGGACTCAGGGCGGCATACAACATAAAAACACATATGACAAAAGTTAAAAAAGATTAAATAGGAAATCCAATAACCTTCAATTGACAATTTAAATCAAATTTAGGATTAAATTAAAATTAACAATTTAAATCAAATTTAGGAT